GTTTTAGTCTACAGGCATAACAAAAAGAAGTTATATTTGATTAATTTTTGATAGAAAAATCCAGTAAGTCATGGTATCTACTAAAAATACTTGATAGCTAAGAATTCAAAACTATTGAATTCCATTAATAGGAATCAGCGAATTATATGGATTTCTATTGAATATTTCGTGAATGTTTTTTATTATCTATGTAAAAAAAAAGACTGGAAAAATCATATTATTAATAGATTATAATGGAACTATTATAATTTGATTTTGATTAGATTCTTCTATATAAACAAAATCAAACCTTTGGGACTTTGATCTTTTCTTAACTGATTCTAATTGATCATAAAAAAAAACAGTTAAAATAACTTAAGAATAAATCAAAATCTCAAAAGTTTAATTTTGTTTATATATAAAAATCTGATTAAAATCAGGTTATAATAGTGCCATTATAATCGATTAATAATCTGGTTGTTCCCATCTTTTTTTTAATGGGAATCGACACGGACTTTTTTTTTTATTTAATTTAGTCTTTCTCTTTTTTTGTGAGAAAATTGAAATAAATACATTTAGTTAGCGTTAGAATTTCTTTACTTATTCAAAAATTAGAATCATATTTTTAAACTGAAAGTTTTTCCTAAATTATAAATTGTTGTTGGAAGAAAGATCAAAATGGATAGTAATATAATGCATTTTGATTAAATATCTGATTTTTCTTCAGGAATGTAACTTTAGTATTAAACAACAAGAAAAAAATTTTAAATATTTAAGTTAAATTATCTCGAAGTTCGAAGATGACATATCTCAAATTGTTTTTCCGTGATTCAGAATTATACTATATTCCTGAAGAAACATCAGATATTTAATAAAAATGCTTCATATTACTATCCATTTTGATTTTTCTTTTAACGACAACTTATAATTTAGGAAAAACTTTCGGTTTAAAAATATTATTCTAACTTTTGAATAAGTAAAGAAATTCTAACGCTAACTAAATGTATTTATTTCAATTTTTTCGTGAAAAAAAAAAAGGACTATAAATTAAATAAAAAAGATTTTGTAGATAATAGAAACCATTTACGAAATATTCAACAGAAATCTATATAATTTGTTGACTCCTATTAAACCATTCGACTCGATGGATTCCACTAGTGAAACCCGCTATGTTTTAATAGAAAATCACTAGAAAAACATTTTCTTTTCCTTTTTCTTCGGGTAGAAGGATATGTGCGTTATATCATCTGTTCTTCCCGTTATGTTTTGAAATATTTATTGCATGAAATCATGTTACTCGTTAAAACAACCAATCTTAGACGAACTTCTTTTGATCTGCGTAGGAGATATTTGAGAATCTTGATGAGGAAAGTCATACCGCATGTGCTATGGATAAATCTTTAGGCAAGACTTGAGACTTTTTGGTAAGCTCAAGTTCTTGAACTTCTTCTATCACTTGAAATTCTTGCCCAACCGTTTCTGTTATTAAGGAACTTTTTAAGTTTTTTTCAATTTTACGTTCAAAATAACTCAAATTTTAATGAAAATTCATAGTTGCATTTTCTTGAGTTGAGCGCATGAGTTTCTTGTGACTCATGCAAACATTCAAGCACTTGTCTTAAGCAAGAAAGTCATGCTCTATAGAAAAATTTTGAGGTATGCACAGGTCAAGAGCATGAAAAAAAAAGTTTGCCTCAGGAAGACAATAAAATTTGCCATCATCAGAACAGAAGTCTTTTATTTTAATTGCTGTCACATTATTACTTGTTTCTCTCCACAAGCTCGAAGAAAAGAAGGATTAAACCGGCATGTTCTAAGAAGCTGTGTTGGTTGCTAGAAGAAAATCAGACAACAACAATCAAGAGAGAAGAGTAATGCGGCAGCAAAGAAAATAAAACCTTCTGTTCTAATGATGACAAATTTTGTCTTGCTTATTTCAACAAGAAACACTATTGTATGCAATAAATAATTCAAAAAACAGCGGAAAGAATTAATGATATAATACAGGTATCCTTCTACCCGAAGAAAAAGGAAAAGAAAGTATTTTTGTCTAGCCATTTTGTGTTAAAAAATGATGGGTTCCACCCGTCGAACCCATTGGGTCGAATGTATTAATAGAATTCAATAGTTTTGAATTCCTAGCTAACAAGTATTTTTATCAGACGCCACGACTTACTAGATTTTTCTATCAAATATTAACAAGAAAACGTTGACATACATTGATTAGTTGAGCATGACATGCGTCTATCGACATATTCTTAATCCAAAAGTTGTTACATTATAGTGTTCAATAAACAAATTACAGTCAACCTGAAAAAAACTTAAAAAAAAAAAAAAGAAATACCCACGGACGTATAGTCCTATCCGTAAAAAAACCATATTCTCTATATCTTTTTCACTAGACGGAGTTATAAAAAAACTATCCAATGATCGTTAAATTTGTAATTTATAAAAAAAAAAATAATTTCATATATTTCGTACCAAATATTTTTCTCAGCAGAATTTGTGTATATCTGTCAAACCGTATTACTTTTCATTGGGTCTCATCTTATGCACATACTATGTAAAAGAAAAAAAAAACAGTTGGAATTTTCATCTTTTTTGCATGATATGAAAATAATAATTCACAATAAAATACATGTTTATTTTGTAGTATATCAACATTCTAGAGCAGTAACCATTATATGGAATAACGGAAATAATCTTTTAGTTTATGTAACAAGAAGTTACAGAATGAAAAATAATAACGCTTGATCACTGAATCATTATCGACTGCGTTTTTACGAATGATAAAATTTTACAGCGCCATCTGTCACATTCTGTGATTTAGGTAGGTTTTCTTTAAGGATATATGGTGACATCTGATAGTTTATTTATTTATAAAAACTAGTATCTTTATCAGAATAAATATTATAACTATATTTTTATTTGAGATTTCTTAAGGGGCTTCCTTAGAAAATTCAATTTTTCAAAAAAATGTCGAAGTTGGGTTTTTATCATAGGAAGATGCAGCAAAACTTCCTCTTTCAGAATATTTATGGTTTTTTGGAAAATGATCAGGTTTTAAAAGACTTATCACATGAAACTTTGATCCTACTATCATATCTTCCGAGAAATTTTTCGTGATTTTTTTTTAGAATTTTTTTTCTGTTTTGGAAAAACTGCGTTCCCAATCTTGCCTGTTTACATGCTTTAAAGGAGTTCACTGGAATATATTGAAAAATGCTATCGTAATATGTTTTCTTTCTGGATTTGAATGAGAAAATCCATCTCTAAAACTTCTTTAGTGTTTTTGTCAAAACATAGATTTCAGGTAGAAAAATTGGAATAATTCTCACCCAATTCAAGCTATGACCAATATTTTATTTTTTTTTAAAGCTCTAAATGAGAGTAAACTTTTGTCCGATCAGTGTTTTTATATTACGTCGGTGGTTTGAGAAAAATGGAATTTAGTGTTGTAGGGATCCTTTTTTGTACTGATTTGAACACCATGTCCAATAAAAAAAGCTGGGAGTTCAATCTAGTATGACATATCAGGCTGAAATTGTTACTACAAGCTCTTTTCACTAGGATCACTCATTACTAAAAACTTTAGCCGAAGCGGTCCGTTTTAAGTGGGAAATGACTTGTGAGGAATCTCCTTTATGATTTTTCGTGATGTGGAAATGTTTTAAATTTGTGAGAGCTTTCTTTCTTTTTTCAGAACCGAAGAACGTGACATTGAAGACAAAATAAGTGTAGATTAGTTAAAAAAAACACGTAGGATATCTTGGAGCTGGATTCGAGTATTCCGTAACTGGATTCGCATGTAGGTTATACCAAACTATAAAAAGGCTGTACCAAGATAGATGTCGACGAGTTCTATCGATTCCACTATTTACTTTTTCTCCAACACTCCTCCTTCATGGAAAAAAACCCAAAATACTGACAACAAATAGGCAAAACAACAAGTATTTTCCGTAAAGCGCGCCGCGATTCGCCTGTAGGTTATACCAAAAACTAAAAAATGGTATACCAAGATAGAACTCGTCGAGCTCTATCGAATGAACACCTTTTCGGCTCGATTCGACCTCTGGACACATACCCATGCTTCATGAAAATAAGAACGAACTGTAAATAGAAAGATGTCGTCGTCGTAATGTCATTGCGAGCGTTTTAAAATTAAAGAAATGTGCACAATAAAAAAAAAACTTAAGTTAACATATGAAGCATGCCCAAAGCTAAATTAATAATTGATTTGCACTTTTTTTTGAAGAAAAATAAAATTTTTCACGTTTTCTTTTGCATCGTGTTTAGAAAGACAGAATGAAAAAGCAACATAATTCGAATGAGTGTAGAATTGAGACCTGGATTTGCCCTTTCGGAGGGGATCCAAAGGTCGAATTCAGTCGAAAAGGTGTCCATGCGATAGAGCTCGACGAGTTCTATCTTGGTATACCATTTTCAGTTTTTGGTATAACATCTAAGCGAATCCAGGTACATAATACTGGAAAAATTCGGATTCTGGCCAGGGTTTGCCCTTTTTCAGGGGATTCCAAAGGTCAAATCCAGCCGAAAAGGTGTTCATTCGATAGAGCTCGACGAGTTCTATCTTGGTATACCATTTTCAGTTTTTGATATAACCTATAAGCGAATCGCGGTGCGCTTCACGGAAAATACTTGTTGTTTTGCTTATTTTTTGCCAGTATTTTGGGTTTTTTTCCATGAAGGGGGGGTGTTGGAGAAAAAGTAAATAGTGGAATCGATAGAACTCGTCGGGATCTATTTTGGTATAGCCTTTTTATAGTTTGGTATAACCTACAAGCGTATCCAGTTATGGAATACTCGAATCCAGCTCCAAGATATCCTACGTACGATAAACTACGTAGATATTATGTCCGTATGAATCATCACTATCCAACGATTTTTTTTCCTACTATGATCATAACGATATATCATTTCTTTCTCTTGTGATCTAGTGATCATTCACAACATCGAGATATTAACTGTAAAACATAAAATAAAAAGTTTTGATTTTCATCATGGAATGTTCTCGATGTAAGCATGAAATTTCAATCGAAGAATATGTTTCGATTTTAAAAAAACAGTAAGATAAATTTTTTATCTTTCAAGGAAAATGCTTTTTCTAATTTTATCTATTTCTAGTACAGATATTAATTTACCATTAACATTTTCGCCTTTTTTTGTTTTAAAAAATCATGAAGCATTTCATGCTAGAATTTTATCTTTGATAAATAAGGAAAAAGATTTAATTTTTTTCGATAAAGATCATCATGAAAAAAATAAAATGAATCGACCAGTTCTAATTCAATCATTAACTTTTAATTATGATAATAATAAAGATCATTTTGATGATAGTTATCGACAAAATATTTATTTAATTGAAATGAAAATGAATCATGTTTATGAAGATCAGCAATTATCATTATGGATTGTAACACGACCTGAATCAACAAATATGATTGATGGAACAATATATATGGCTGTTCGTGATAAATTTGATTTTCATATTCGTCTCGGTAAGTTTTTACTTATGATCAAAAACTATTCAAACTTTTTATATATATTATGATGCCTATTTTATATTTTTCTCTAAGATGAACATGAGAACCACATGTTGGAGATACATTCTTTTAAATTATGACCTACTTCGAGTTCATTTGAAATGTATGCATATTATAGAAAGATAAATTTCAAGAATTTTCTATAACAAATAAATGTCGTTAATTTCTATTTAGTCGTATATATCTCTAGCATTGTCAAGCAAAGTCTTTCAATTGATCAATCGCTCATTGAATCGAAACTATATGCATCATATAGATACCAATGATCTGTGAATATCCTGAAGAAAATTCGGGCTGCTAGCTTAGTGCTGTCACCATACTTCATTTATATGAAATTTTTAAGCTAAATATCGTTGTCTTTCCTCACGAATACTAGGAAAACAAAGTTTCGAATTTCGACTTTAGATTTTACACAAAAAACAAGCTTCAATGAGAATAACAGATATTTTTTTGTATCACTCATCCACCAGTAAGTTTCGATGTTCTTATTTTAGGATAGGATCAACTAAAAGATCTGAAACTTTCATAATAATTAGTTCTCATTGAGGCATGTTTTTGTATAAAATTTAAAGTTGAAATTCAAAACACAGTTTTTATTGGTGTTCCTGAGGTAAAACTATGACATTATGTTTAAAGATTTCAAAAAATGCAGTACTTAAATAACAACAACAATAACGTAGCAATCCAAGCCTTTTTCACAATATTTATACATCATTAGGACTCACATAATGCACATAGGTTCGACTCAAAAGCAATTCATCAGTTGGAAGACTTTCCTTCGGGAATATCAACCTGCCGTTTCACATTTTTTGACAACTTGAATTCGATAAAAACTAAAATTTTGAAATTAGATTCAATTGAGAATGACCTGCAGCTCTATATTATTGAGTTATCATTTAATTGTATAATGAAATCAAGATTTATCTTTCTATTTTTAGTAATTAGCAATTGGTCTTATATTATTCCAACGAATGAATTTAAATCAACAGAAAAATTGTCTCATATTTTTGATGAACTTTTACCTGTTGATAGTATGATTAAATTATGTGATCCACTTTTAACAACATGTAATATCGATGGTCAACCTACACTTCGTTGTGATGCACCAAATACTGAATTAATTTTATCTGAACGACAAAAAAAATGTTTTGTTCTTGATAAACTTGATGAATTACGTGATCGTGGTAATCAAGCATATATTCGTGGTGATATTCAAATAGCTATTGATTATTATACATTTGCTATTAATCGAATTATTGCTATGGCTGGAATGGTTATGTCGAATAGTAATTTCTTTTGTTTATTTTTATAAAATATTTCAATTTCAATTTTTAGATAATGATTTTGAAATGAATTTATTTCGAAATGCTTTTCAACGTGATCTAGCTCGATTACATTCAAATCGTTCAGCATGTTATTTACGAGAACATCTTTATCCTGGTGCAAATCTTGATTCACTTGTTGTAGTAACTGGTCGATTTTTGAATCAAACTTATGATGAATTTTTTTTAAAATGTCTTTATCGTCTTATATGTGCTAATATTGGATTACAAGAATTTACATATGTATTTGATGAACTTTTTAATCTTTCTCAAAATTCTTCAATTAATTTTAATTTACGTTTAAAACATACAATAGATTTTAAGCAAATTCAAACAGCTTTACCACGTTTAAAACATGAATATCAACATGGAGAATATGATTTAAAACAAATGTTTAATAATGAATCTCTGGATCAAATAACTTTTTTTGATAGTCATATGTTTCATTCTAATTTTTACAATGATTCATGTATAAAAAAACGAAATCAAAATTTATATGCAAAATGTTGTATTCCATCTGGTACTTTACTTCTTGTTCAACATGCTTTTACTTTTGTTAAATCAGGTATTAATGATGAACGACGATTATTAAATGGAATTGAAAAACATTTAATTATGGCATCAAATGCTTGGGAATTTGATTTAATTCGTATTATACCATGTATTAATGAATGGTTTAAAAATGAAACCAATGCTGATGAAAATGATTATGAGTAAAGTTTTATTTATCTAATTGTTTATAATGATTTTTTTTTCTTGTTTCTTAAATAGAACTTATCCAAAAGCAATACCATGGTATTTACTTGTTAAAACTCAAAAACAAAATCCTTTTCGATCAAAATCATTAGTTGGTTGGTGGCCTCAAGCATCTCTTTTCAAAGTAGCACTGGATTCAAAACAACAAGCTAATTGTCTTTGGTAAAATTTTCTTTTAAAATTTTATCAAAAGAAAAAAATTTAACTTTGTCATTTTGATTAGGCTTATTTGTGGTAAAGCAATTTTCATATTCAATTTTATGCCAATACATAAAAATGAGGAATTCATTATTGCACATAATAATAAAATAAATTCATTTCTCAAAGAAAATCAAAAACAATTTACATTTTTACTTGGTAAAAAAAATCAGGTTCAACTTGATGAAATTTTTCACCAACTTAAAAAAACACAAATTTATTTTGATACATAAACGATTTCACCGATAATTTTTCTTCTTGTTATTTGTATATAAATAAACAAAAAATATATTATTATTGTATATTTTTGATGAAACTTTTTGTTTTATAAAAATAAATATTTTATTTATGAACAAACATAAATAATCCCTGGTCTAATATTATCTCGAATTCTATAGAATGATTTGACTCATATTCAAACGAATATTATTTCGATCTTATTATTTTCTTTAAATTCAATATTAAATAAATGTTTGTCTATTTATTTAATACCTCTTACTTATCTTTCATCTTATGAGAACCCATAAGAATTATAATGTATCAACAGTACAATCGAAATATTTATTTTAGATACTCTATGATATATCAATATAAAAGTTCTCGCTTCAATTGATATCTGATCTTTCTTTGTCATCATTCAATTGACTTGTTTTGTGATATATTTGATCAATGAAAATTATTTGCATATAATCAGAACTGCATTGTACATTTACATGAAATAGAAAATTCTTTATTTTAAGCAATTGAATACTTATTGAATGTGATCAAGGTCTTCGATACAAGATGAAAATAAAAATGAAAGATAAAATTTCTATTGACAACAGAAAAACATAGAAGAATTTTAATTCAATTTAATCATATGTTAACTTGGTTTCTACAATGCCAGTTAAAAACAAGGACATCAACAATAATAATACATATCAATCACATTTCAAATACTTTTTTTTTTCATCAACAAACAGTCAGATTCAAAAGTAATGTGAAGCCTCTTTAAAATCATGATCATTCTTTCTTGCAATACATTTTCTTTCTTTCTCATCTAAGCAAAAGAAAATTATAATGATGCAAGTAGTAATGATTTTTGTTTTTGACATATCAGACGCTACAAACGTTAAATTCAATAAAAATTCTCTTTATGAAAAAAAACAGAACTCCTGTATTGGCAGGCTGTTGACGTGTGAAGGACAAACAATAGATAGGCAATAGCATATTAAAACAAAAAGAAAGCAAAAAGAAGAAAGCATTGCCACATGCATATTTACACAGCCGATAACGTTCAACTTAAGTGAATTTCTTTGATTTTCTAATGCTATTGGTAAATGTGATCGTTACTTCTGTCGACAGTCTCCGTTTGTGACAATTTTTCATTCTTTTCTTCTTCTTTTTTTTGACGAAACCTGTACAAGGTTGAACAAATATTTTTTTTTCTTTTTCTTTTTAACTGCCGACGACGACGACGACATCATCATCATTATTTGATGCTCTATTCTTTTTTCTATATTAGACTATGAGTTTTGAGAAGTTTCGTCGTACTGGTGAATTATCCGATATTACAGTGATCGTAGATAAAACTGAATTTAATCTACATACATTTCCATTAATTACAAAAAGTGATTACTTTAAAAAAGCTATAGAATCATCAGCAAAATCTGTCCCGTATGTTATTCAACTAGACGAAAACTTTCCAGGTGGCGCTCAAGTTTTTGATCAATTAGCGGATTATTTTTATTCAATACCAATAACTATTGATCATAAAAATATTATTCCTCTTCGTTCAGCAGCATGTTTTATTGAATGTGATGCATTAGGTACATTACTTGATGAACGTTTTGATAAAATTCTTTTAATTGCACGAGCAAAATATGATTTTGGTATTCCATTAATATTACTTGAACAATGTATTGGTGAATATCAACAATGGGCTAAACAAACACATATTGTTGATAAATGTCTTGAATCTATTATTCAATCAGTAGCTCGTGGTGTTGGTTTACAATTAAATAAATCTGATCGTGAAATAATTAATCGTTTACCACTTGAATGGATTATTGAATTAATTAAATTATGTCCAACAGAAAATAAATTTGCTATTCTTCCCATTGCTCAACATTATGTTTCAGTACATGTACTTGATCAAAATCAATTTTATACTTCTACTTCATCATCAACATGTAATGGACATGAACATAAAAATGGTTTTATACCTACTACAAAAAAAGACGATATACCAATAGCAACTTACGATGAACAACGAAACATACTTGATCAAGTTGTTAAAACATTGGGAAGTACAGTTGAACGATTACCAGTTGTATGGCTTAATGCTGCTTATGAGAGAGCAGTTGAATTAAGATGTGAATGTGAATCAATATTATCATCTCATACAACACAAGCTATGCTTAATTCAAATGATCTTGATAAAAATATGGAAAATATTCCTGATGATATTATGACAAGTTTATTAGAGCGTGTTAGTAAATATAAAGAACAACATATTACAGATCCACAATTATTATCAAAAGTAATTAATTATTTTAAATAAATTAATTAATTAAAATTTTTTTTTTTTTTTATCTTTTTAAGTTATCTGCATTAATCGATTCATATGTTGAACAACTTCGTCAACGAGGTACACTTACAAGTGAACAATTTGTTAAATTAGCTTCATGTATACCAAAAGAACAACGAAATTCATATGATAGTCTTTTACTTGCACTCGATGATATTCTTAAAAATGGTTAGTTGAGTTTGTTTTTTTTATTATTTATTTTATTAAAGTATTATTTTTATTTAATATACTATAGAAAATTCGACAAAATTAAGTAGTAATGAACGAGAAGAACTATTGAGTCAAATTGATTTTGCACGTGTTAATGAAGAAACAATTGCTGCATGTAAAAGTAATAAACTTATTCCACAACAATTAATTACTGAAGCTGCTTTGGCTCTTTGTGCTAAATTAAAAAATCAATTAGACGAAACTCGAACTCGTTTACGTTTAGCTGAAAATGAATTGATAAAATATCGACCGACATATACTGGTTCTAGTATGATTTATAACGTGTTAATAATATAATATATTGTTCTATATTATTTAGATCATCGAACGCGTTATTATGATTCACCATTGTCTATGCCAACTCGTCCTCGTTCTAAATATATAAATAATTATGATTTATCAAGAAGTAGTTCAATCTATAATTACTCAAAATATGACACTGATAGTGATTTGGATGGCATTTTACCATCGAGATATCTTTTAGCAGCTTTAAATGGTCGATATGATACTCATTCTACTTATCGTCACTAAAAACAAACAAATTTCTTTCCTTGTGTGTATGCTTTTGTGTGTATAGGGTTGATTAGATTAATGAATACATGGCTTTTACCTAACAGTTCTTTATTTTATTTTATTGTTTTAAATGATACTAATATATTTTTATTGCGATTTTTTTTTGTCGATGATTATTTCTATCTTAGGTTTATCTTTGTTTTTTTTGTCTATTTCATGGTGATGAAATCCCTGCATATTCGAAGAAAATGAATATAAATCATATCGATTGTTTTTTCTCTTTCATCGCGTATTTATAGATTGTAGCTATTCCCCCCTTTTAATAAAAATAAAGAATTAAACAACAAGTTTGCATGT